ATCTCTACAATATTTACTTTCTAACAAACATGTAACAGAATCATGTTTTTCACATCCTCATCATCCGACAAACTAACTCTCTCTCTCTCTTTTTTTCTTTGGCGCAATATAGCATAGCACGACGGATTCGAAATTAACGTTCGGCCACCTCTTAGATATAAGAGTGTACATTTCGTCAAGCATTGATCCGAATGTGCATAGAGAACACAAACAATTCATTCTTGTACATACAACTCCCTAGTACATTACTTTGTGCCCCTTCTATGTATCTAATAATAATAGGATAAATAAAATAATAAAATTTTCCAGCAAGTATGGTACAAAACAGTATCAAAGTGGTACTATATAAATACAAACAGAGGTACAATAATCCAGAATAGTGGTACAATGATCATTCTCACCTTATTTTTTTGTTTTAGGATGAATAACACATTACATATCCTAACAACAGTATCAATTTCGTATACATGAACAAGAGAAAAGAGATTTTGATAATTTTCATTGATTTAGGGTAAATAAGAATAACAATATTCAAAATTCAATCCTTAGCAAATTAACCAAAAATATATGAATTAATCATGATTTTTGGACACCAAAATCCTCATATAATACATATATTACTTACTACTTCAAATTTTGGCCGAAAAAAAAGGACAAATGTTGAAGGAAAATTTTCAATTTCGCCGGACAAAATTCACGAAAAAATACTTCTTTCACCGGATTTGTTGCCGCCGGAGTTCTTTTCACCGGAGGATGAACATGCAACAAAAAAAAAAAAAAAATTAAAAGAAGGAGAGGGAGTTGCCGGAGAAGGTGACGGGCTGGAAGGAAACGGGGGAGGATTTTTTGGGTGGGGGAAGATGATTGAGTAAAAATATAATATTATTATGTATGGTAGGTGTAAGAAAAAAGGTAAAAGAAAACTAATAAAATAATGTATAATGAAAAGTTTGAGTAGGATGATGTCATTAATTGTTTTATTTTTTATTTAACTTAATATTAGGGAGTTAAGTGGAACATCATTATGGGGGTAGGGAGTTCAAAGGAAAAAAAAAAAGTTAGGGACTGAGAAGGAAAGTAAAAAGTGACTTAGGGATTTTCAAAGAACTTTTCCTTATTATTTCTCTCTATCTCCACTACCAACTTTCTTAACTTTTTACTATTTTTCTCTCTCTCTCTTTCCACATATTTTTATTATTTTTTTTCTCATCTTCTATTATTTATCTCTCATACTACTAACTTTTTTTAATTTTTTTTTTTATCATTTTTCTTTCTTTTTCCTTCAACACAATATATGTGTACGAACTTACAACAACATTGGTATTGTAAAATTTTTAAATAAAAAACCGCTAATGAATATATACGATCCGATTTTGGTAATGTACTGCTGGACTACAAAACCGCTCATGAACCGCTCGAACCGGATTGGTACGAACGAAAATGAATCTATACGTTGGTATATGTGTGGTTTTAAAACATTTATTCAAAATTCAATTTGAATACAATGTGGTTCCATAAGATAAATACTTTAATAAAATTTTTATCATATATTTAAAAATATATGTGAATAATAAGTATAATATTAAAACTTATATATTTTCATTAATTAATAAAAGTTTATTTTTATATAAACTATCCAAATAAAAAAAATATATATTTACTTATTTTTATTTCATATAAATCTATATTATATTAATCTCACAATTTTAAGGTTTGTTGTATGTTACTCTATCGTTAAAATTTACCAATTGATTCTATCGAGTTAAATTATAACTTTAAATATTATTAAAAAATATTTATTTAAAGATCTATCTAATTTTCAAGAGGAATATAT